GAGAGTGGCAGCAATTAGTGTCTCATTTCAAAAATGATAAAACCACTTTGGAAGATAGTAATGTACATTCTTTTAAAAGTCAAACAATACTAGAGAAAAAAAGGACAATAGGCAAAAACTAAGGAACTCACTTATAAAAATTATTTTTGTTAGTAATAATGAATCGTTTAGTTCATTGGTTGCAACAAGTATAAATGGCAATTAAAAATATTGATGATAGAGGAAAGTATGTGTGCCGTATATAGAAACACTTTATGGTATCTTTCAGTAACCTGTAGGCAAAATATTCCTCTAAATTAAGCTTGTTTTCTAAAACTAAAATTTGCTTTCTAGAGGAGTCTAAAGGTTCCCAACACATAGAAAGCAAACATGTTTGAGGAAATGGAAAGGGTAATTGCTCCAATTTGATCATAACGCATTGCATCATGCATTGAATTACCATAGTGTACTCATAAATAGGCACAAATACTTCGTCAAATGAAGTATGCAAAATGGGGGCTGGGGATTTAGCTCAGCGCATAAGCATCTGCCTTGCAAGCAGGCAGTTGTGAGTTCAATCCCTGGTACCGATAAATGGAAAAAAAAAAAAAAAGAAAAAGAAATTTGCAAAATGAATAGATAAAAAACAAGTGCCATAAGTCACACTAAAAATAAAGATTATTTTAAAAGATAGCTAAAAAAGTAAAATATATACTTACTATCTAATTCAGCCCCACAATGTCCAGTTATGAAACTAAGAATAAGAAAAATACGTGTATGTAGAAAGACATGTGTACGAATGTTCATAGTAGTTCTATTTGTAATAATCACAAGCTGCATACAATTCAAATGTTCATAAACAGGTGAATATATAACCAAACTATTGTAATATCCCTATAATAGCACTCATCAAAAATAGAATTGCTATTGATACACATAATTAGAAGCCTGCATCTCAAAGTTTTTTTTGTTAAATATAATATTTTTTGAAAAAATAGTATGTATGTCATATATGATTCTGCTACATAAAACTCAAGAAAATGCAGATTGATCGATTCATAATCGCAGGAAAGTTAGTGTATTAGGAAGCATTTCATGAGGGCATCAAAAATGTAAGGGTGATAATTTTATTACGGCAAGAGTTTCACAGATACATACATATATTTCTCAGTGTATATATCTTGTGCACTTTAAATTGTGTGTTGCTTTTTATATGTCAATTTTACTCCAATAAAGCTGTGCATTTTTTTTAAATCATCTTAGTCTGGTACAAGTAAAAGAATATAGTCAGTTTAGGTTCATACAATTACTACTCTTAATTATGAAATATAACTCTGTTTTTTTTTTTTTTTAGGAGAGAAAATTCTAGTATTACCTACGTACCAGTGTACCTATCAGTTACTTTTTCCCACTTTTTTCCCATTCTCACCCCCTCTTTTCAAACTGCTTTCCCCTCCTCATTCCCAAAGGTTGGTTTTCCTTTTATCCTTCTTATCTCATTTATTCTTCCTTTCCCTTCCCCCTCCCTATTTTCATTTTCCCTTTGAACAATATCTTCCTATTTTACAGTATCTATTGTATATTTATGTTTTTATTTGCATTTTCAGTTTCTCACATCAGATAAATAAATCTGATATTTACACATGTGTAGAACTTATTTCACTTGTGATTATGGTCTCAAGGTCCATTCACATAGCTATAAATTTCTCAATTTTATCTTTATGGCTGAGTAATATGCCACTTTATATAAAATGTGTATTTTTTTAAACCACTCATCAGTTGATGGGCCTTTGGGTTGCTTCCAAGATTTATCTATTTCACACTGTGCCATTATAAACTTGGGTGCACATATATCACTGTTTGTATGATGCTTCTCATTCTTCTAAGAAGATATCCAGAAGAGGAATAGATGGATCAAATAAGATTGCTAATCCTACTTTTCTGAAGAATCTCCACACTGATTTCCACAGTGATTTCACCAGACTATACTCCCACCAACAAAAGAGGAGGTTTCCTTTTTCTTCACAGCCTTACCAGCATTTGTTATTGGTTGTTTTCTTGGTAATATCTTTTTTTTTTTTTTTTTTGGAGCGAGTTGGAATCTCAGTACTGTTTTAATTTGCATCTCTTGATTGACTAGTGATGTTTTATATTTTTTTCATATATTTATTTGCCATTTGTACTTCATCTGAAAAATGTACATTCATCTGAGATGTCCATTTTTGGATTGGTTCTTTGCATTTGGAGGGTTTGATTTTTTTTTTTTTTCAGTTCTTCCTTTTTTCTAGATATTAGTCGTTTAAAGAACAGATGGCATAAATTTTTTGCAATCTGTGACTTGTTTTTTTATTCTGTTGGTGATTTCTTTTCCTGTAGAAAAGTTTTTTTTTTTTTTTTTTTTTTTTTTTTTTTTTTTTTTTTTTAATGAGATGAGATCCTAGTAGTTGATTGTGCTACTTTCTGTGCGATCTGGTTTTTGTTCATAAAGTCTTTGCCTACACCTATGTCTTCTAGAGTTCTACCTATTCTGTCTTTCAACATATTTGGGATCATTATCTTTCACGAAAAAAAATGAAGAGTGACTCTTAAGGTCTTTTGCAGGTAGATATATTTGTAACAACCCTGAACTTGTATCTTGTAAAACAATTTGAAGAAATTCAATTGCAATAATTTAAAATAAATCTTAAATTGAAATTTCTTAATAAAATGTTACTAATTAGCCACCTAAAGTTCAAATGAGAATTAATATTTAAGAATTATTTATAGTAAATCATCATTTTTGAAAATATATTCTGTGCCATATAATTAGAAGTCTTTTTAAACAGTTTTTAAAGACAAAATTTGCATACAACACAATCTATTTATTAAACTGTGTAATTCTATCCCTTTTTTAGAATATCCACCAATATGCACAACCATAATCATAGTTGATTTAATAACATTTTCATAGCTCAATAAGGAACTCCAGATTATTTAATGGGTACAGAATTTTTGTTTGGGTTGATGAAAATGTTCTGGAATTAGAGAGTAATGGTGCATGCACAACCTTGTGGATATAATAAATGTCATTGTAAGTTAAGTTGTATTATACCACATACACAGTTTATCTCTCACATTCTACCACCCCATCCTTTCCCACCATCTCTAAGCAACTAGTGACCTATTTTTCTCTCTATAAAGATTTTCCTATTCTGAATATTTTTCATGAATTAACCCTTATAACATTTACTTTTTCTATTGGCTTTTTTAAACCTGAGAATGACTTTTTCAAAATTCATCCATATTATAATGCATATCAATACTTTAAACAACTTCATGGAAAATACTATCCAATTTTATGAATATATAATATTTATTTGTTCATATATCATCTAACAGATATTTAGTTTGTTTCCAACTTTTGTCTACTAAAGCTCATATTGCTATGAAAATTCACGCACAATTTTTATGTGGATTCACAATTTTATTATATATATAAAACAATATATTAATGCATCATATGCTAACTCTATACTTAACTATTTAAAAACTTGCTAAACTTATTTAAAGTGTTTTAGATTGTTTTACTTTCCTAGTAGTAGTGCATAAATTTTCCAAATTTGCCACATTCTACCAAAAATGTGTATTTTAAAAATAATAAAACAAAACAAAGCAAACCAACACAAAACACAACAAAGTACAGCAGAGTAAAACAATGAAAATAACACAGGATTTCAGAAAAAGACAGCAGGAAATCAACACTGACTCCTATAATATCTCCTGTTTTCTTCAAAACAGCTGTCCATATTTTCACACACACTGTTAGTATACATCAAAGTAGTATAAAAGCAATCAAACTACAAGAATGTGACCCTTAAGGGCTTTCAAGACCAGACACTAGGAAATCAGTAACGGCTACCATAATGTTTCTTGTTTTCTTTAAAATAGCTGTCCATAACATCATACACATTGGAATCAAATCATTGAAAACAGACTACAACCAATCAAAACCAAGAATAAAAGCATTATTGGCTTTTGAATAAAAATGTCAGGTAATCATCAATGGCTACCATGGTGTCTCGTTTTTTTCAGTGTAGTTGTTCATACTATTACACATGCTAAAATCAATTCTTATAAACTCTTTAGGTATAGTTCTAGGCATATATAAGCATATACATGTACATCTATCCTTTCTGTATTCGTTCTCCATCAAAACTTGTTATGAACTTACTTTTTACAGCCATTCTACTAAGTATGAAGTGGTATTTTATGACTTTAATTTTTATTTCCCTGATGACTAGCGATGTCAAATATCTTCTCAATATTTATATAGACTCTCAGGGCTCATCGCTTTGCAAAGTTATGAACTCCTTAATCACAATTTCTGGGTGGACATGTGGAAAAAGATTTCCATGTGTATAATTATAAATTATTTACTCATAATAAAGATTAGAAAATAGACTTGTTTGTTTAATTGTTATATATTCAATAAGGAAATGGGAATAAATACCTGTTAACATGAATTGTGCTTAAGTATTAGATTCATTACTATTACACAATTCTTAGTGGGTAGGGATATCCCAATTGCCTATCAAAAAAGAACAGCATAATCTGTACATCTGATTATACTTTCTGAAATCAAACGGAAATCACACAGATTGAGTGAGGTAAAAAGAGCCACTTCTTTTTGATACAAAGGAGAAGGTATCGATTAGAATTTTTAAAACTCAGTTGAATTGAACTGATATTCATACAACAGAAAGAGATCTGTGTAAAGTGAAAAAAAAAGAAAGATGCTAACTTTAGGATTAGTAACTCTCAAGATAAGCAGTGGATGGTGAGAAAGTTAAACATTATTCAATCAGAGTCAACAATTATTTTGGCAGAGTATCAATTTGTTACTAGCTCCAAAGTGTTAAACTTGTAACAGATAAAGGTAGTCTGTCGCCAGAGGAGTAAATATACATTTGCCCTGTAGACTAAGGAGTCCCCTGCTTAACTGCAAAGACAGCAAAGAAAAATAAACAAATCAAGTTCTATACCTTATTTCACCTTCTCGAATGTGACTTGCTAGTTCTTCAATGAACTTTTCCCCTTTCATCCAGTAGATCATTGGCCCAGACTCTCCACTGAATCCAAAAAATGCTTTGCAAGGAATGTTCAGAGGCTTACCTGGGAATGAGAGAATAAAGAATTGATCGAATGACACAGATGGGACATGTAGCATTTAAGGGAAACTCAGAGGTTGTCCATATTTCAACTCTTTTCCTAATCATCGTTATGCATGAAACTTTTTTTTAAAAAATTCTGGAAAATTACAAAATCCAAAATGTTACAGAAATGACAAAATACAGACTGTCAGTTTTGTTTGGTTTTTTGAGACGGAGTCTTACTATGCAGTTCAGGCTGGCTTTGAGCTCACTTTGTAGCCCAAGCTGGTCTGGAATTTGCAAAGAGCCTCCTGCCTCAGCTTCCCAAGTGCTGGGATTACAGATGTGTGCCACCATGCCTTGCTTGTTACTCACTTTTTAGAACTGTTTATTTTCACTGCCTCTCTTACAGGAAATAATGTGAAAAACTCTGTCATTAATTTTCTTTTTTGAGAATAGTAAGTACTGCTTACTTAAACATACTTTTGAAGCTAATTTTAATCAAAAGTGTAAGTTAATTCTTGATGTGTGAATAGATATATTAGACTATCCATCATTAAAACTGAATAAGAATGTTGGCGATATAGCTCAGTGGCACAAGTGCTTTCCTGGCGAGCACAAGGTTGTGAGTTCAATCCCTAGTTAAAAAAAAAAAAAAAAAAAAAAAAAAAAAAAAACTGAACAAGGACAATTTGCTTATTTCTGTTAATATTTTAAGAAAAAAATGAACAATCTAAATGGCAGTGGTTTCATAAAAGTGTTGAACCGAATAGTTTAAGAAATATCAAGATAGCTGATACATTATTTCTTGATATATCTATGACTATATTTTCAGAAGAAACTAAGATGTGAACTGGTGAACTGCATGAGCATCATCTAATCTGCTGGGAGGGGGGAATAAAATAAATAGATGAGAAAGAAATATTTGCATTTTCTCTGCTAAAGTGAGACACCTTCTTTTACCTCTATTGGAATCAGATGATCAAGTTGTCTGGCCACTGAACTAGGGCATTTGCAATGCCTTGGGGATCTGTGACCTTGGCTTCAGGTTTATAGAAACATTATCAGCTTCCTTGGTTCTGAGGTTTTAGGACTCAATATACTTCATTGTTTCTCCAGCTTCTAACTGTCTATTGTGAATTTCTTAGGCTCTATAAACAAGTTCGTTAATTCCTCTTATAAATCTTCTATCTATATCATCTCTATCTCTGATCTATTACCTTATTGGTTTTGTTTCTCTGGAACACCCTAATACATTAAGCTAAAAGAAAATGTTTCAATCAAAAATATATCTAATTAATATATGCAGGAAAGTTTCAGTCTTACGATATCTTTATATTATTTGTATCACTCATTGTGCTAAAATAAATCTAGGCATATTTAGTGCCTTTTATTAGGCATCTTTCTATTATAGTTAAAAACTTTGCTTTATTATAAAGTTATCAGTAACTATATAATCAACTGTATTTTTGCTCACATTGAATTTTTTTCTTTTTGTCAAGCAGATTAGTAAGTAAAAATGATATAGACAGCACGATTCCGACATTTCTGATACAGAAATCCACCACTCATAAATAACATAACAGCATATAATTTTCTCCATAAAATTCATTTTTTTCTTTTGTTAGGGTCCTAGATAAAGCTTTTTTTTTAACAATATATTCCTTGTCAAGCTCATAGCAGAGAAGCTTCTATGGCCATTCAGAGGTATGGACAAATTATCCATTGTATATTTAAATTGATGTAAATTTTGCATGGTCTAAGAATGATCACTTTCTGAACCCAAATTCCTTTTATCAATACAACTGTCAGATAGATTTCTTTTGTCTCTATTTCATACAAAAACATTTATGGGAGTTAGGGTTTGCATTAAGATAAAGCAGAGATTAAGAAAACCTCATAGTCACAAGGCTGCTGAATGATAGACTTATTGCCAATTATTAGCTTTATTAGAATAAAATTTATCTCTTGGCAAAATGGCATCTCTTTCACTTTTCAGCCATTTCATATTGTCAAATCATTTGATGTCGAAGGCTGTATTTTATGTTTGACACAAGTCTGAAGTAAAATTCACTGTTTTTTTGAATATGTGCTTTCCATGCAGTTGTACAACATTAACATAGTCTTACATTGTAGAAAGTGTACTAGACTAAGTGCCAGGAAATTGGAACTCAGTTTTAGCTTTATCATGAAAATCAGACTGGTCCTGGACAGATAACCTAACTATATGTTAACTGCTTCTTCATATATGTAATGAGAATGGTAATAATATTAGGGTTCCTGAGAGAAGATAATGTGTGCAAAAATGCTTGGTGAACACAAAAACTTCCCTGAAATTTACTATAGTGTTGATTTCTTTCTGAAGTTTGTCAATCCAAGTATAAGTCAAATCTGAAGCATAAATATGTAGACATGGATATAGATCTATGTTACTTTTGACTCTGTCCATTTCATGTCCATTTTTTATTTAGAAGCATGTATGGGACAATATCCTCTTATCAACATTGTTGAATTTTTCTTCCTGTATTCTAGAATACATGTGATCTACCCCAGCTAGCCCTGAGTTCTATAAACCTAAACACAGAGTTTTTCTCTACCCTCCATTCTTAGGAAATTGAAGGAAACAACAAAACAGATGACAGAAAAAATTAAATATGGTAAATATGATAAAACATCCCATTGCAAAATGATTTATACATATAAATTTTAATTTTCATTCCTTGGGTTGTGTTGGGAGACTACATCATATGAAGAACATTTTAGGTATCCCTAGCATCTAGGTGCTCAGGCCTGTTTTAATGGTAATGGAGAAAGGCATTACATCAATGTGCAAAATAGGGCCTCCTTATGGTGGTACATCAAAAGGATAGTACTTTCTCTTTTTTGGCACTGTACAGGGAACTAATTATGATAGTGAGTTTTCCTGAGTGGAATATTTTTACTGTCCCATCAGAAAGGTTCTTTTTAAATAAACACAAGAGACAGCTATTTCAGCAGTCTATTTTGAATGAATGCTGACTAAATATCCTGAAACTTTTTGTCACTATCCAAACCGGGGAACAATCTAACTACTACATGCAATACTCTAAACACAATCCCAAAGCATTCAACTCCTGTGTCAGATAGTGATGTTCAGTGTGTTCCAGTGAGCAGGCATCTTCTCTTCCAAAATGCATGAGAAAGATGACTGCATTGATTGGGAAAATAATTTAAAACAATCTCCCCAGGCTTTTCAAAATATGATCTTTGTGCTAAATCCTATCTTTTTTTGTTGTCTTTTAGATACCATGTTACTCTGCCTCCAAATATCTTCAAAGTCATTCTGTTACTCTATGCCTTATTAGCAGAGAAAGCTCATGGAATGGTTGATACGTTGTGTCAATTTGAGTTTAATAGTTTAACTAAGAGATTCATTTGGAAGCCAAGATCCTTACTTGGTAAACACCCTCATCCTCTCTGCAAGAGGAGAGCACAGAGATTTTGTAATTGCTACACTTTCCCTAAGGCACGGTAGTCTGCTTAAATATAAATGAGGAAAAGAGGTTTACTCTTCCACCTGCTTTTGTTCTGGCTCCTTTACTGTTTGTGCTACTTTCAAGTGTTGTTCCCGTGCCATGCCACCTTGCCTCAGAGCCAGATGATTATGCACTGAAACTTCCACAAACTGTAAGCTAAATAAAATTTCCTTCTTTAGTTTTGGGTGTTGGGTATTTTGTCCCAGCAACAAGAGCAAAGTAACCAAGACAGCTCATTTACACGCACACGAAAGTAAGTTAAAAAACTACCAAAACTGAAATAACTTTTTTGGTTGGTGCATCAGTCTGATAAGTGAGGCTTGCTGAAAAGTGACATACATAGAGTAGGTTGATTTTCCATTGCTTTAGCATCTTGCCAATTTCCTTTCTCTGAGAGCTCTCTGAGAATCCATCTTAAAAATCTTAAAATTCTAGAATTCTTAATAAAAGGTTAAAATGTGGCCATAAACTTACTAGATTTTTGTGGTGAAACAGGTAAACTCAGAATATTCACATTTTCAGAAAAGAAATCTGCAATGCCTATGTTCCCTTAAGTTTTCTTGAGTATTATAGCCCAATCTTTTGCAGATTATGAGGTAATAATATCAAAATACAGTGAAAGTTGTAATGGCAATAGTGGTAGTAGAATTTATGCCTCTATCCATGTATTTGCAGATGTGAATACAGATGAGATTTTGAAAGGAGTGGGAGAATGAGGTCCACATTTGATATATTACACAATTTTTTTTTTTTGTCTTTTTCGTTTTTATCGGTACCAGGGATCGAACTCACGACTGCCTGCTTTCAAGGTAGGCGCTTATGCCGCTGAGCTAAATCCCCAGCCCCTATATTACACAAATTCTAATAAATATATCAATGATGTACTGCTATATAGTAACTTGTTTTATAGAAGTAATATGCATATAACATGTATAAGTTTACTAAAAATTGCATTGATACAAAGGATATACACAAATAATTTACAAGAAGTAATAAAATGTAGTGCATGTATTATATATATTCGCTTTTTGCTCAGAATATTTTCATTTATTTTTGTTAAACCTAAGTTTTCAGATGAAAAGGCAAGATAGTTTATATATATATATATATATATATATTCAATATTTTCAGTGACAGTAATAAAAAGAATCAAAACAAAACAAGATGAACCTCAGAGCTTCACTCTTATTCATTTATATGAATATTCCTTTAGAAGAATTAAGTAACAAATTCTTTTTTGCATTTCAAATCCTTAGGATAGTTCTTAGAAGAATTTTTAAAGAAACTGAGACTGAATTATCTGATATGAAATAAATTCAGTTAAGTGTAAAAAGATTAAATGTATTTTAATTTGAACATATAATCTTTCCATCCTTAAGGATTTTCTGAGACTTTCTCAAAGTTGCAATTTAATCTCCAATCTAGCCTTGATGCTTAATGGGCTACAAATTTTATAAAAATCGTCAATATCGTTTTTGCCAGTCAATTTTTCTCTCTTCTTCGTTCT